GAATTGTTTGAAAATTATCAGAAAATGAGAAAGAATATTCAATAGAAATTATGTATAATCTTTTTTTGAAGTTTGGGGTGGAAAGGGCGTAAAGAAAATTTTTGGGACCTATTACGGCATTTTTTTAGGTTCTCTTATTTTTATCTCAATCATCCGTAAAAGAATCCAGAAATAAAAATGTATATTTAATTGAAAACAATTAATTATTTCAATCTATTTAAAATGAATATGTCGTCACTAAAATTATTTGGGGAAAGCAATTATTTTTCTCAGTGACGTCTCAGAAAAAAAGTATTTTTGTATTAATTTGTTAATTTAACATCTGTTCCCTTTCTAATTTTAAGTAATTAAATTATTTATAAATACTAAAATCATTATTTGAATTGATATGTTGAAAAAAAATTTTTTGGTTTTTCTAATAGTAAAATCTTCGTGAATAATTAGAAAAACTTATTTTTTTCTTTGTGTCGAGGGCAAGTCTTACAGATCTGCATGTTCTCTGGGATATCCCGAAATAAAATCGGAAGTATATCCATCGGCATCGCATTCACCGGTTGTAAATCCCAATTTCCCAAGCGGAGTTATTATTTCAAGGCTGGACTATTTGTTGTTATTTATCGGATCGTGTGCGTTTGTCAGGGATGATGCATCGGTTCTATGAATAGAAAGTTAAAGATTGCGACGAGATTTTATCGTTGCGGGTTGAAATACTGATCGAGAGTGAAATCTCCATTGATTGGATGTAATAATAAAATTTAATTCCAAGATTCATGAATCAATTAATTATTAATTTTATTGGTAATTATTTATTCGTTTATTTACTCCATTTACTGTCGCCGATATATTACCATTTGTTGTGATTATTAATGATCGACTGTCGGTAATAAACCGTCGGTAGATAAATTGGATTTGGTCATTTTCGTTTGAATATAACTTACCGACGAGCGATAAAAAAAATTGTCACGAGATTATCATCTCAGTACAGTATTAAAAAATTGAATTGTAAATAATTTTTTCTACGGGTTTGTGATTAAATGATGTATGATATAATAATTTCCCTTACTCATTAGTTTTTGCCATAAAATTATATTTCACGTGATAATTAATAATTGAAATGATCAATGGAGAAAAAACAAAAAAAAAAATCTCATTTAATAAAATAAAAACAATGAAATAAAGTTCGGAAGTAAAGTAGACTGAAAATATCTTTAAAAATCTCGAAAAACGTGAGAGTGATTCCCATTGGCCAACACAACTCCCACACGTTCATATTTGAGGCGGGAAATTCGAACGGGGTAATTAGTCGTACACTCATAACGAGTAATTATGATAAACAATTAATAAAAGTGAATAGTTGGTTCATAGAAAGTATAAATGGAGAGGTCGGAGTGTAGAATGAAACCCTTGTGAATGGCATTGGTGTCCAGAGGGTGGTGTCTGTCAGATGCTCCGCCTATAAATCAACCCCGAGGTCTGGGGCTAGGAGAGGGGACAGGCTGACGCCATGTTAACACGTATAAACAAACCTTTCTCATCCCGACTGATAAACGGCTTAAGCAACAAGCTATTCTACCCGGGTGAGAACATTATTCTCTTAATTCAGTGCATCCTACCGACACCTGTGCATTCTCCCGTTTTAAATTTTATTATTAAAAAAAATATTCTGATTGGATTTTCTCGTACGATTGCTATGAAATCAAACTCTCACTAATGATAGAGGACTCTTGTCTCCCTGACAACTCATCCCACGACTAATCAACGGGAGCATTAATCTTCCTTGGGGATCTTCGACCTAATTTTCTTTCGTTGATTGGCTTCCGCGTCAATCCCAGATTTCG